TTTGTTATTATCGCTGGGTGGCGCAGAATCGCGTCAGGAATCCGGATTTGGAGTCGGATTCGGATTCGGAACCGCCCTGCCTCCTATATCGTAGATTGAGATGCCGCCGGGAAAGAAGTAGAAGGCGGCAAATTGTCAAACGCGCCGCCAGCTGCCAAACGATTTACTTAGGTCTGTCCCTTCAGACATTATTCTTGCCTCCCCCCAGTTGCTGGTTGTCCCTAGACTAGTGTTTCTTTTTCGCTCCATCTTGTTATATTTATTTTGCATTTCGTATTTCCTATGGTCTGTTGTATTTATGCTTTATTTTTAGGCCTGTGCAGCCATCAGGCCATAATGTGTGAAATTGCCGACAGCCTCTGTACATAGGAGATCTCATGGTAGAAGATCTGCTGCTGGCTAGTGAGGCACCAAGTGAGAGATCTATGATTTTGCCATCTATGATAAATGGAGCGCACACAGCGTTGCTTTTATTTGAAGTTTGACAGCAGCAAAATATAAGGAAATCCAGAGAAGAAATCTCCGCTTGTTTTTAGAGACTAGAAGCTGAGAATACCCTGGGATATTAAAGCTGATTTCTGGATGGAAAAGGTCCATTGATGGTTTAGTGTTCAGTATTTGTTTAGTTTATATTTGTATCCCTTTTGTCCCCCCACTTTGTGTGTTTCGGCTGAGTGCCATCATACCCCATTGTTAGGGTATTCAATACGAATGAAGTCGTTTAGTGCTTAAATGTTTCTTTTGAACCAAATGAACATTAATATTATGGGATAATTAACCCACTGAGTAGAGTGTTGGCGGTTGGTTTTTTTTTTTATATTTAGGGGGAGTGCCTTGAAAAAAATCACAAAACGGAAGAGGTTAAAGAACTCTCTCTATAGAAAAATTATTGTTTGGTGTATACATATTTACTATCGTATGCCTTTCTCTAACGTTCGAACCTCTGCCCTCACTGACCTCTCTGGTCCAACCCCAAAAGCAACGCAGCCAAAATAAGTTGTAAAAATTTAAGTTTCATTAAGATGCACATCTTAATTGTGCCCGCAGCTGATGCCACACCATCCTATGCCCATGCCATACCATACCATACCATACCATACCATTCGATACCATCCCATCCGATCTGATGACGATGATGAAGAAGACGATCCTGTTTTCCAATTTCCACCAAAAGTGGGTTCGGTCTCTCTATTGTTTTATGGCTGCCACGAGGAGTGGCTGCGGCACTGTTGTCCCCTGATAATTGATGAATTTATTACCCAACATGGGTACTGCTACTACTACACCCTGCCCCACGTTGTTGCCTGTTGCCCAATCACTTTTACTGATTGGAAACTGCTGCCTCTCTCTCTCCATCGTCTTATCACGTGCCCCAGAGTGCCGTCGGCTGATGAAGTGCCGTCAGCCGTTTGTCGCTTTGGGTTCTTCTAATTGTTGTACGAGTAATCTTGCCCCCCGCTGCCTAATGGGTGGCTTAACATTAAGAATGAAAGACCGAGAGACCCGGAGACCGGAATTCTCGGAATCCATTCCGTATGTTCGCGTGTAAAGTGCATTTTTTTCGGGGCCTGCTCTCCTCTCCGCTCTGCTTCATTTCTGCTCCAATTTCTGCTCCATTTCTGTTCCAATCTCTTCGCTCTTATTGCTCTTTGTTTCCGCTGCTCTTCTGCTCGACACTTGATTTTTGTGATTTCTCCACCGATTTCTGATTTCGGTAGCATCCACACACACTTCCAATCCACTCCATTCCATTCCATACCCAAGTTTCGAGTGAAATACGCTTATGCATTGTTTTCCGAATGCGGCACGTTCTGGCCATTTATGGCGGCACGCATGGCCAACAGCAACGGAAGCCAAAAAAGCTGATTGGCCCCAGAGAGCAGTTGTTGAGAGTTGATTGGGAAACGCACTATTGGGGGCTATGGCCTATAGGTGTGACCTATCCCAAGATATTCTTTAAACTAGTAGATACCTTTTTGGATGGTAGTAATGCTAGTAATAGAAGGGAATCATTTAACCATGATTCAGTTCCCCATCCACTGATGAGAGGCACTCCAGCTGTTGCAGTGGACACATCTGTCCACCAAATGGAAGGACATTCCATCCCAAATAGAGATACAACTAAATTAAATTCCACCCCCAAAAGCAGTACGTACTCTCTCTCTCCCTCGAGGGTCACTTCAGCGGGGGTGACTGCAATAAAATATACAATACCTCCATTTGTTATAGATGATTCCCTTGCTGCTCATAGAAATTTCTCAATTAACACACGACAAATATTTGCCCAGAGATGTTTTTCTCGATGGAATATTTCTTTGTGCTGATTGCGAGATCATTGTTGGATGAACAGACAGGTGCCATAATTCCCATAAAATACCATTTTCCAGGGCCCCCGTGGCAACCAACAGACACACACACACACTCACACACACCCGAGAGAAAAACAAAATAATTTAGATAAAACATATGACGCCTACAATTTTTTTTGCGCAAGAGAAGCGATAGCAAAAATATTTACAATATATATGTACTACATGCCACGGGAATGGATATATGTATGTATTTATGTATATGGGGGTGCGTTGCGTGTTTTTGGTGGTCTGATTTACATATATTATTTATTCAACTTCTAAATTGCAAATGGAAACATGTTACGAGGTGTTATGAATGCTTTTGGCTGTGGCTGTGGGTCCCGAAAGGTAAGCTAAGCGAAGCATACGCTGACGCAGCCGCTGCTGACATCTTTTAATTTGCATATTTATGATGCCCAAAAAAAAAAAAAACAAAGCAGCATGCCCCAAAAAGTGTAACAAATAATGCCAGTAGGTGGGTGGAAGCTTTGAAAGGGAGTGAGAGTGAGAGAGAGAGTAAACGAAATTAAAGATACCAAAGGCAACAATTTTTGTGGCTCTAACGAGGCAATTAGTTGGCTTAGACATCTGTGTGCTGTGTGTGTGTGTGTGTCCGTGCCCTTCTGTTGGTCATTGTTTGCCTTGCATATTTTTCTAACCCCAAGGCACACACACAGAGAAATGTCCAAAAATTGCCGACTAATTCCCTGGAATGCGGGTGGGTTCTCGTTCTCCCCTCCCCCAACCACTCTCATCCTCATCCAAATCCTCTGCCTGGATTCTGGATTCGGAAATTGTTTGTATAGTCAGCCAGAACCGGTTTATGTATGCCACGCGTGACAGCAACAAAGATCCAAAATGAGCTCGAAATTGTCATTGTCCTCGAAGGATAATGACGGACGAAGGACTGTAATGACTGTAAAACAGGATAATGCACATGCACCACAGCTGTACAGAGCGAGGGAGAGAGGAGTCCCAATAGAGAGTGATTTCCATGCAAATTAAATGGGATGAACTTTTGCCCCAATATGAAACGCGAGACGATACCCACGCAAATGGAGAGGAAAATCTTATTTGTTGAAAAGTTTTTTACGACCCCAGCCAAGCATTTGAGATAAGAACACAAATCGATCGAGAAAGCCAAGCCAAGTCGCTCCAAATGGTAATCCCCGTCCTGAAGTGTTTTGTCTACCATAAGAAAATCAAATCAAATTAAATTAAATCAATTCCACAACGAAAGTGACAATAAAACTCAACGAGTTTTCTGTCTGTCTGTCTTTTATTTTTTAACTGGCGGTCTCGGGGCACTACAATTTTCATGTTGTTGCCTTGGACTGTCTCCCTGTCGCTGTCTTTCTGTTCATTTCCATCTCCATCTCCGTTTCAGGCTCTTGACGTGACTGATGTGGGCGTGGCACTTGTGTGGCATGCAAATCATGTCAAATGTCACATTCAACTTCCACAAAAACTGCAGCTGCAACATCAGTGGCGAGGCGATGCGAGGCGCGTCTCTTTGTTCTGTTACTCGTAGCAAGAGGAGCTGGGAGGGGGTTATGTTACCCCATAAGAACTTCCTTTTTATGGAACGGAACGGGTTACCCCTGACCTTCAGCCCATTGACTTGTTAAGGAGGTGTTTCTGTTTCCTTCTTTTTTTTTTGGGCAGAACTTCACGCCTCTCATTCAGGCCTCAATGTACACAAAAAAAAAAAAAACATTGTGTTGTGTTTGGACAGCTGCTGTTGCTGTTGCACGAAGCTACTGTATTCGGTATTCGGTATTCTGTGTTCAATGGGGCAGGGCACACTCTTATTCATCGGAGTGAGGTAACGTGAGCTTGCAGCAGGGGTCCCATCATCATCTTCTGGCTAATTGAGCTTTCTGTAGGGTAAACATTCCCCACAATGGATAGCGTCTGCATTTGATATGTTCCTAGATGCATAGAATCGAATAATGGGGCCTGTCTCCCATAACCGAATATTTGTCATACCCAAATAGAAATTGGAACAAGAATATCATCGTCTGGCGAGAGGGCAGTCAACTTGAGAGCAAAGGGAAATATAATACCCCATAGAAATGGCTATGATATGTGGCAATTCGAGTTGTGGCCATTAGATATCTTCCAGGGAGGAAACTAAATGATAAAATATGGGTATAATTATAGATAAAGAGTTCCCTCTACTGATCTAAAAAAAAAATCTGCTCATCTTCATAATTTCTTATCCCTTGACTTCTTAGATTTCTTTGGAAAATTGCAGTTTTTGTTTTGGAAAATCTAAAATCTTTTTGACTTGAGAAATCTTTGGTTTTTCTTCAAGTATTCCTCTGATAAATCATAATATATATCCAAATAATTCAAATCTGAAGCAGGTTGGTCGTCTTCTGCGGAAAAATTTAAATTTCCTTCATGTAATCTATAATCCAACTGCTTTTTATTTAAATATACGAATATAGTATGCAAATAAAACCAAGCGAGCGAACGAACGACTGGCTCTATAAGAACGAGTACCGTAAGAGACACACGAAGCAAAGCACCCGACCACAAACGACTCGACTCGACCCGATGCGTGGCCGAACGAAAGCCGAAGCGCAATCAGCTGATGGCGTAGCAGCACCGCTGTATGGCTGTGGCTCTGCCACACAGAACGTCACAGTCTGCGGAGTCGCCTGCTGCGGTGCGGAACACACATTCGAGAGCGAAGCGCAAGAAAAAAGATACGACTACGGCTACGGCTACGAGATACAAAATACGAATCGTGACAAACAGAAAAAAAACTATAAGAGAAATAAGCAGCAGCAATCTTTGTTTTTGCTACGTTTGTGGTTTGGCAGCGGCTTTTGTTTTTCGATTTCGGTATCGGAGTTTGAGTTTTTTTTCGGGTTTGCCCCGCGGCTAAACTTGAAATCACAGAAAGCTGATTCGGCATTAAAGAAAGATACGAGATACATATGCAGTTGCAGATGTGTGAGCATTGCAGATAAAGATAAACCAAAACCAAGTGAAGTGTGCGAATACGCGGTGAACCTCTTACAGCGAGATACTTTATTTATATTGTCCTGGATTAAATATATATAAATCTATCTCAATGTTGTAGTAGCTTTAAGCTCTGACAAAACCCTCTCAAAAGATACTCGAACTGCCATTGAAATCTGCTGCCAAAATGCTGGACAAACAGAGCTCCATCTCGATGTCCGGCTCCTGCTGCAGCTCGAATGCAACGAACGCGGACCTGGACTACGATGTGCCCGTCTCGCGGCGCATCCACATCAAATCGGTTAGTATCTGCAGATATGCATCCCGCGATCCATAAACTATGCCGCTTTAGTGCGCAGATTAAGACATTGAGGGGAGGCCGGGGCCGTGTCCGAGGCCTCCTTCAGGATCAACTCATCAGCCAAGCCATGCTGCTATCTGCATGCCCCATCTGCCTGCCTGGCTGCCAGACGTCTGTCGCCACTTCTTCAACTGTTGTGGCTGTGGCTGGTGGCACTGTTGTGACAGCCGCCGCTGCTTGGCCACAGTTTGAGCCTGAAATTGTAACGGATCGCTCTCTCGCTCACTCTCTTCCGAGAGATCTTTTTCTATCTTTGGCAGCTGCCAGGCAAAAAGTTTCCGCAATTTTTGCATTCGTTATCACCTGAAAGTCAGAGTCGACACCGTTTGATGTTCTACTTTACGGCTTCTCAGGTGCGATATCGCAATGTCGTGATAACTCCTCCGGCTCGTACTCCTCGTACAGGTGATGCCTGAAATCTTTTAGTGCTTAGAATGTCTCAAGTTATTCTGCTAACAAAACAACGCATGAGCTCATCGCGATAAGGAATCTACTACTCTCTTGTGGTTCCCCATAACGATATTTCGGAATGAAGAAGAAGCCCCTCCGATTAGATTGGGAATCAAGTGGGCTTGCGCTTAGTTCGATTAGTAAGTAAGAGCTTTGACTGATAGCAAAAAAAAAGAAAGGAATTTCGTTCCCAAAGTTAGCGCTCATTAGAGCAACTTCAACTGCTCCTTTGCTTGAGGCAACAATTGCCGACACTCTGCCATAATCATTACGGATCACTTTTGAGTTCATTTAAAGTCCACTTTGAAAATTCCAATTGATTAAAGTATGGAATGCAAGCGGCGTCGCATTCCAACTCGTTTTTGTTGCACGAGGGGACTGTGGACTGTGGACTGTGATGGAAATATGATTTAATGGCCGCGGCACTCAATCGATCTGCGATCTGCGACGAATGTTGATCAATAGATTTATGCTGCCATATATTTTCATCAGTGCCCCCCAAAAGTCATTCAATCAACTTCATCGCTCGACGACGCCACACGCGGACGGACATTAATTCTAATCAATTTTCTCCGAGTCTCCGCGTCACTTGTAGCGCACACTCAAAAATTAAATTTCGAAGGAGAAGTATGTCTAGACGGAGAGAAGAGCTAGAGCTAGAGCTGTGGGGCGCCCACTTAATCAGTAAGAGGAAAATGTGGAAAAATGATGTCCCTCAGGGAGTCTCAGCTCTGCGGTTATCCTGCAGATAAACTCACGACTGGAAGACTGAAGACCTGAAGACCTCCTCTGACATAATCGTAATTAATATTGAGAGATATGCTGGCGACGATGCTACTTGGGATTAGTTTGGTTTTTTTGTTTTCGTTTTGTATCGGGTTCGTTTTCGTTCTTTAAGTTTCCCTGACAACTTAAGGGTCTTTGTGTCTTTTGGTTTTTGGTGTGACGCTCAATTAAGACTGATTAGATTTTGCCCAGAAATTCAGTGTGAGTGTGTGTGCTAGGGCACAGCCCTTGGACTTGCCCTTATCGTTTTGGTCATGCCTATTCCGCTATTGCCCGATAAGGGAATACCATTCCCATGCCCAGTATGCCTCTGGCCATTCCTCCAATCAATTTCATAGACAACGTGCGTGGTCTTTGGGCCCATGAGAATTTATTGCCTTATGGGGCGCTTGGGTTCTCTCTCTCTTGGCCCTTGATTATTTATAGGCTTCTCACTTGGCCTTTCAATCAATTGAAATCCTCGGCAAAAGAAATCAACGCTCCACGTTCGCGACTATTAATAACTGATTTTATTTGCCATGCCACAGGGGGATCTATGTATCTATCTGAATGCGCCTTACTTGGGATTCGCCTTCCGCCACGTCCTCCTCCATTAGTCTCCCCTTAATTGCGGGCCTTCAGTCAGGCGCACGTCCTCGGGATGGGATGCAATGGAGCTGGAGTCTACAGTCTAGAGGGAGAACTATTAATTGCCATCAGTCAGCGGCATGCTAATAAACCCTTTGGGTACCCTTTGGAGGATGTACTATTGGCTGTCTAGAGGTGGAAGCGTGACACGAATAGAAGCCATTTCTAAGTTGTGGTGGATCACAGATGATAGGGATACAAGAACTGGCTCTCCAGGCCCGTCTGTACGCCTCTCAAGTGCATCGTGAGTGTGCATCACGCTGCCATCTCTACATTCAAAGACCTCCACCTCCAGAGATTGTGTCGGAAAGCCATCTTCGAATGTTTTCCGCTGTTTGCATTTTGAAATCTAAGCTGAGAACTGGAACCGGCTTCTTGCCAGACATCTCAAGACACGCTCCAGCGTCAATTACTTTTCGCATTTGTGCGCATTTGGAGCACATTTATTTTAATCTCACCTGTGTCTGCCTCCCTGCCCCTCGCTCTCCAACACTGTCTCTTCTGTGTCCCTCCTGTCTTTGGTCTCTCGATCTCTGTGATGGATGCATCTGCGGTCGGTGCCAGAGATGCTCCGTCCCCTCCGGCAGCCCTTCAATTATGGCCCATACTTTGTGTCAGCGACTGTTAGACCAGGGAACAAGTAAAGTAACCAAAACAGGACTCCAGACACGACTCTTGTAATTAGCCGTTGTTGTTTATTTAATTTCAAGCTTAATAACGACAACGACATGCCACAGCCACAGAATATTGAGTGGCGAGTACAACTCGTAGTAGAAGTAGAGGTAGAGTGTTGTTTGGAGTGCATTTGCATTTGCATTTACATCTGTGCTCTTGGGGAGCTGCTGTCTCCCCCTACCCCCTCACCACACTTGATGGCCAGACACACTTTACTCGTGTAAAAGCCAGAGACGAAGACAGGGACAGGGAGAGGGACAGGGACAGGGACAGGGACAGCGAGCTCTGAAGTCGTAAGTAAGCTAATTTATTTCAGTGCTCAAGTTGTGCAAACATTTTGCAAATTCAAATTTGTTTAACAGGTTGTCCGGCCAAGCTATTGGCAGGCAGGCAGCTGGAAATTGATGAATGGAAGGCAAGGTTAAGGTAAGGAGCGAGCTGCAGATGGAGGCTAAAGCAGAGAGGGATCAGAGATTAATGAAAGAATCTGTCATTAAATGTGTCCGAAGATCAGGGGAACTGCGGAGAATAGATAGATATACAGACATTCAAGAGTTTTACACATAATTATTACATTACCTCAGCAGCCTTTTTAACAACATCATTTCAACAGCTTTTCCGCTATATCAAATATGGTTTTTTCTATAGGCCTTTTCAAAACAAAACCCAAACCCAACGAAGAAGAAAAACTTTCGCTTTTTTTGTGTTCAAAGGCATTTTATCTCTCGCAGTCGCATTCGACACTTGAGTTGAAGTTAAAGTTGAGATTGCGTTGCGTTGCGTTGCGTTTGGCTATATATTCACATATTGTATTATCTAACAATTGGTGGCAGTGGCAGTGGCAGCGACAGTGGCAGGCAGAGTCATGTGCTACCAACCTAACGAACCTCAACGTCCACACTGCTTATCATTTTTGCCGAAGCAAACATGTCAGCCAAATGGATTAGAGAGACGTACACACACACACACACCGTACACACGGGAAATTATGGCCAAGAGAGTGTCGATAATGAGGAAAATACGACCATAAGTACAGGTCGCTCAGGTGTTGTGTCTGTGAGTGTGTCTTGGCCTTTGGCACCTCACTCTTACTGCCTCTTTCTGCTTTGCGTTGCCACTTTCCCGCTGGCCATGCACAAACGTGAGACAAATGCACTGCCCGCGGGCCACTGTTGATAAGAGGCATGTGATAAGAGCGCCGCCCCTGTGTGCTGTCACTGCCTGCTGCCATGTAAACATGACGCGAATACATCAGCAAATATGTGCGAAAAGTAAGGATTGTCTAACAATGAGGTTTGCCATGCTACCACGCTTTTTCTTTACCTGGAATTGATTTCTTTTCAGATTCAAATGGTGAATGTAAACTACAGAAATATCTATACAATATTCTCTAAATATAACGATCGTAGCAGAATAAATAAAACAAGTTCTCAGTTACAAGCAATACCCCTCTCTCTCTCTCTCTATGCGCCGTTATTTCTGGCATTGCATTGCCAGAAATTCTTTATAGTAGGGTTCTATCTCAAGGTATCTCCACAGTCGGGAATGTTGAGTATTATTCCGTCTTATTTGTTCTTTTGTGTAAGTATCTATGGGATACGAATGCGCATTGTTTGTCCGACTCTCAATGGTGTGTGGATGGAGAGGAGAGGAGAGTACGTGCACAAGTTTACATTGTGAAATATGAATATGTCATGTCACGTCCAGGACCTCACTCACACCTCCCTTCAAAAGAGAGGGGGAGAGAGAGAGAGAGAGAGAGAAAGACTGAGAGACTGACTTGACTAATTGGTCTACGAGTCGGAGATGGAGTTTGAGGAGTCCTTCAAAAGTCGTAGAACCCCAGGTGCAACATTGAGGCTGAGGCTGAGCTGAGGTCGAGACTGTATTGTTCCGAGTGTTTACTACGGATAAACAATTGCAAATTGGCCTTAAAGGCAACTGATAATTTGCACTACATTGCTCTCTGTACTCTGTACTCTCTGGCCGTATCTGAGTCTTTAGTTAATGGGCCCCCAGCCACACCGGAAATGTGTTATGGAATGAGCTTGTCATCGTTTATGGCCAACAGAGAGAGAGAGAGAGAGAGAGAGAGAGAGAGAGAGAGAGAGGGAGAGGCAGCAGTACTGTGGGGGGAGTCTTCTTCTCTCTCTAGATAAGGACTGGAGGCAAAACTGGTCGTAAGCGAGCAGAGCACCAGCAATAAAACTTATATTGTGGCTCGTAAGTGGGCTAGGCCATCATCGCCGTTCGCAGTTCGCAGCTCGCAGTGCAGTGCAGTGATTTCAGTGTGTCTCAGCCTGCGGTTACTGCTCCTCACATCACATCACAACACATCACATGGCTCAGAAGACACTTAATGGGCCCATTTACACCAAACTTACGGATGGGCTACTGGAGTT